AGACTTTTATGGCCACAAAGGCCAAGTCGCACCTGCTAACGGTTGTGAATAGACTTGCAGACAGCACCAGGTGTGCCATTTCAACAGTTTCACAACTGGGTGTGCCTTTCATCTATGTATAGAGCCCCGGCGAGGGGATGAAGCGTGCTCAGCAATTGTCCTAATTTAGCAAAAATCCTATTTGTCCAGCGGGTCGCCCTGCTCGGTCGGCACGTGTATTTCAGGAGCAATTATATCGGTTGCCCTTGGCCTGGCCCCGGTGGTGGCCCTGCGGGGAATCGGGGAATGCTGCTTTTATGGTTGGTGGGGAGGGATGTAATGAGGGAGCGGGTGACAATGCCTGTCTGGGAGAACACTTCCAGCGGCGCACGGAGCATCCCCACCAGCCTGGGAGGGTGAGGGCAGCCAGGGCACCCCGCGCCCCAGCCCTGCTCCTGCCCCCACCGACCCCGCAGTGTAGTGCTGCTCGTCTATTGAAAGCGCCAGCCTTTTAGAGAAGGCGTTTTGATCATATCACTGTTCAGTGCTTAACACCGTGAGACCTGGGAGGAGCTCAGGGCTTGTAGGTGCTTTACAAACAGGGTAATAAATGACAGTAACGAACGAGGTCCGTGTACTTGCAAGGTGCTGGTTATGTCTCTTCTGCCACCTCATAGTGAGCCCGACAGCAACATCACATTCGAGATTTTATAATTTCAGGCTTCATTAGAAGTCTGAGTCATAATTTAAAGTTCATTAGATTATCTCTATATCCCAAAGCCACATCATAAAGATGAGAGAGATGCTAAGATTTGTTTTTTCAATGCAGACCAGTTGATTGTACTCAACAGAAGAAGTTGATCTCATGGGGATGGTTGGATGAGATCGGATAAGAGTTTTGCAGGCTGGAGTCAGTATTCATTAGCAGCAAACAAGGACCCTGTTTCCGAACTGTCCGCTCCCCATGGACATTGTGTGGTGGCACGTCCAAAGGATGCGTCTCAAACACTGACGTAATTTCAAGGTTCCATTAGAAGCACTTTTTTCCTGCCTGGGCTTGGCCGATGTATATTGGATTTGCTCCAATTATGATCTTTGAAATGAGCCCTGATGAGAGACGTGACGCCTGAATTGCTCTGGTTTTATTTTTATAAACATGAGTGATCTACTGTTTTGAAAAAAGTTCAAGCCCTTTCTCCTGCATTTTTAGACCTTCCTATTTCCTTACAAAAATCCCCAATAAAATTAACAGGGAACAAGGAAAAGGATGAAGGTACACTTAATATTGCAAAGCCAAACACCAGCTACAGCATCGCTTTATGTACAGCTGTCACTGTATTGCATCGCTGCCTTTTCTGTAGGAAACTCATAAATTGTGGAAGAAAACCATAGTTATCCCTTGACTATTTTGTTTCTGTTTGAGAGTTACAGACTGCGGGGATGGCCGGGCAGAGCACAGGGCTTGGCAGTAGCATCCCTTGAGGTGTAAAGGGAGGGACAGGCAGAGCACCTTGGAGTAGGCAAAATATGCAGGTTTCAAACTGTTCAGCTGCAGGATGTGCCGCCAAGGCACGACCAGCGGGCACCAGATTTTAGCACCTTCATGCTCCCCCTGGGCTGGGTATGGCCACGTGCTCTCTCTGGTGGCCCAGCAGCCCATTGTTCATGGTGTGCATGTTGCATGGTGGCACAACAGATCCAGCACTGGCTGACTGCCTCCTCCAGGGAGGGCCTGATGAGTCCAAACCCAATGCAGGTGCCAAGACTTGAAGGCACTTCTAGACAGACTAATGAGTGAAATGTGTATTTAGTCTGATGAATCACACCTTGGATGCTTGTCACACACGCGGGTGGGTCAAAGCCTTGGGCTCTCCCCAGGGCTGTTAGTACAACGTGAGTGCACCTTGTGAAGCACTGACTCCAGGTCCTGGCTGTGGCAGGGGAGGGAATGTCTGACTGGGGGAAAGATCTCACCATCGCATGAAGAGCCTCATTAGAAGTAAAGACTTGTCCATTTGTAATTCTAGGGCAAATGGTACAAATACATAAATGCTGCTTTGAAAAGTTTCAAACTCTGATCACCCTCCACTACACTGATTTATTTTTCCAAATTACTGCATTATGTAGCAAAAAAGGCTTTTGATGTGTATACGCATGCACTCATTAGCTTGACACCAAACCGATCAACAAGCTACTGTGTAATAATTTTGACGGAATCAAAACTTTGATAACTTCAGGCTGGAATAAAATACATTATTTATTTTACATACTGTAGTAGTTCAGAAAGGCCTTGGCAGCAATCAGGACGCATTATACTGGACACCATAAAGACAAAGAGAAGTGGAGACCCCACCTTAAACCACCTTACAATGTAAATACATCAGACAGACAGAATTTATTTACTTTTCACGATAACTCAGCCCTTGACTCACCACAGACCAGGCACAGCTGAACACAAATGTGTCTGAACTTTCACAAAAGGTGTCTGACTCCCACAGAAGAAGGCTGCTCTTTCTCCAGTGGCTTTCCAAGGATCTTCCCTCCCTGTCAGAAGAATAACCAGCAAGTACCAGTCCTAAAAGCATTTTTTAAAAAAATTATTTCTTTAGACACCTATTTAGATATGCTGTGATTTTAAATCCGCCACTGGATACCATCGTGCATCTGTACTGCGTTTATTCCAGGTGCTGTATGAAAGTTTACATATTCACAGTACTCATCTTCTGAACATATTTAGTACCTCAGTAATCCCAGAAGCACATATAATGTAGGCATGTTAATTAACTCAGTGAAGAACTTAAACCAGTGCATAATTAAATTGACAGACTTTTCATTCATGCTCTTTAACAGTTTCACATGACAAATAGTCCACATCTAAACTACGTTGATAGAACAAATAATATACATCCTAATTAGGTCACTTTATTAAATCTAATTGTGTTGCTCAGTACGTCTGTGCAGGTTGTACAGGCTTCAATGTAAACTGGTCAAGTGATGATAAAATCTCTCCATAAAGCACTTCTGATAATTCGATTTCAAGGAGCGTTATCTGAGGGGTAAGTCCCATTCTTCCCATTTGGGCGATAAGGAAACAGACCACAGAACACCTCAGAGAAATCACTTCTATTAGTCACCTCAGAGTCAAATGACAAGAATTTGGCCTCTTAAGTCCTGCTCTGGAGGACAAAGTTTGATCTAATTAATCAGGTATTACCCATAAAACAAACAAAGAAGCATATGTTCCAGTAGGAGCCCCCAGCATTCATCCCTCTGTCACCATCACTGCTGCTCAGCACTACAGCAGGAACAAACAGAAGCACATAATCTTACAGCTGGTCTATTGTCAAAATGACACATTAGCAGAAGGATTTACGGACATGTTTGCTTATGAAATAAAGGTTCACATGTTCAGAAATGCAAACGTTTTCTCTGCACAGGAGCTACACACAATAGAGAAAGTGCTCCCTGAAAGCTGTGCAGAACTCGGACATGTAGTTATGGTATCTGTGACTATTAAGGTTTTCTGCCTCCCTCCCCCCCCAAAAAAAAATATCAGAAACTATGGTGAATACACAGCTGTCAGTTTGTACAGACCACAGTGACAGGCTGGTATAGCAGCTGCACTGAGGTCCTGAGCAACTCTTCAAAAGTGTTAGAGCAGTGCCATGAAAAAGGAGAACTGGACATGGTTACTTAGCCTTTGGGCAAAAAATCAACATTTGCCTCTAGGAGGCAAATCCTGGCCCCAGTGAAGCCAGTAAGTGTTTTGCTAATGATGGAAATTGGGTCAGGATTTTAACTGAGATTTTCCTTCCAAGTTTCTTTCAAGAAAGATTTTCTCTGTGAGAAGTTGAGTTGATCGAGGCAGGCAGATTTGCAGTTTTCTGTATCCAGAGAACCAGCAGGAAAGCTTTGTGTAAAATCATGGTGCTTTGATTTTACTTTTTTGGTAGCTTGGGTGCTATGTTGGTTTGGAACCACATGAAGCTGAAGATGACACCCATCGTCTTTGGGAGACTCTCATCATAAGCAAACTTCATGGAGTCTTCTAAAGGTATTTCTACAACTTCAATCAGCTCTCCTTCTCCAGGCTGGCCACCTCCTTCACCAGTTTTCATCTGGTCTGTTACTTCTGCATAAAATAGTGTCTGCCTAGAACCTGTCACACCAACTCCAGACCTGGAAAAAAACAGAGGAAATTTTGGTTTCGATAAAAAGAAGGTACCTAGGAACTAGAAATGGAAACCTGAGTCCTTAACTTGTGTCACTAAGCAACATCAAAATGCCAGTCCTCACCCTCCATTAATGTTATTTAGAACCTATAAATGCAATTATGCAGAAATTGATTGCCATCTTCATATAGAAACACCAACGCTTCTGAACACAGGTGCATATGAAATGGACCTGTCTTCAAACATATTCTGCAACTTTGGAAAAACATTAATTTGGGAGAATATAAAAAATGTTTTCAAATTGGTGAGCAAATGTTCTACATCTCCTGAAGTCAACAGAATTTTTTTCAGCTGACCTTCGTGAGAGATGGACTGCAGAATGACTCAGAGATTTACAAACAACTGAATGAAGCTCCTCAGTGTATCTGTGTACATTTTTGTTTGTTTTTACACAAATATTTAGATTTTTTTACTCTTAAGAAGATTATGTCCATTCACAGCTGGAGTCCTCTACTCATGGACTGGATAGGAAAAAGAACAGAAAGGCAGCCTGAGAGTCTTTCTCTCTCCTTCCTGAACTTTAACCTTGACCCAAATGGACCACTGTAAGCACACATGTATCTGAAGTAATTCAGAATCCCTGCTAAATTTGCTACAGTGGATTTAGTTAAGGATATTTTAGATTATGTGGTCTTTCTTCAGCTAGACTGCTTGCTGTGTTTTATACTTCTTATTTGTTAATCCTCTATTTCCTTAGGACTATTTCATTTAAGTATTACTAAATAAGGGATAAGTACATAATCCACTCATTTAGTCCTTCCAAGAAAATATTCACATCATAATCACAACTTCTTCATTTCACATGATTACAAGTGACTTTTCACATTGAATCTGGATCCAAAGTTCACTGAAACTATGAATGAGGCATTAGGGTAAGCTGAAAAATTAGCTTTCATATTATTATACATACAGAGGATTCTAAGATTTGTAGCAGTGTTATGATCTTAGAGTGTATATCAATACTTACGCAACCATTAGTCAACTAAGTCTTTCAGTTAATCCAGCACAAATCACACCCCATAGCAGGAGTTAATCATTTCTCTCTCTGTTTTCTAAGAACATTGGCAATTATTTTGTTTGGAGAATTAATAGTGATTATTGAAGTTGATTTCTTCCACCAATATGCACTTTTTTTAAAACACAGAACAGGGACTGAAGCAGTGAATTCTTCTAAAATTACTTCTGATATATTCTGTGACTTTGGACAGGATGTTCACCCCTCCAGGATCATTCCTGTGTATCTAAGAAGAGAAACTTAACCATCTTCAGCACTTCCAGGAACTCTGAAGGCGGCTATGGGATTTTCTCCATTCTGGGCTCATCATTTTATTTCAGTGTCAGTAGTGGGGTTTTTTGATATGTGTTTTAACCAACAAAATGTGACCTACTAGGATGCAGCAAGAGGCCAGACTAACAGTTTTCCCTCACTCTTCCATTTTCACTGAAGTACATGACCTCCTTTTCAGTCAACCTGATTCAGCATTTACTTTCCCTATGGATCTCTTTTCTGCAACCACTGTCCTTGGTATTTGCACACTAATTCTGGTGTCCATCAGAGGTGGTCTGCCAATAGAAGAGTCATCCAGGGCTGATGATCATCCACAGGCTGTATGTGCGACTGGCACCAGATCAAATGGACTCAGGACTCCCCATGACACACTCCCTTTCCCTTCTCTAACGGGAAGCTGCCTGGAAGAATAATCAGCTGTGCTGCCACTCATCTCACCTCAACTGAAGATCCAAGCAGCAGACAGACCACCACAAATGCAGTCTTTGAAAGCAGCAGGAGTTGCACACTGGGCCCACCATGCTGGCTTAATCATTCTGATCTCATTATAAAAGTAAGGTAGATTCATTTTTCATCAAGTTGCTATCAGCAACCGGCTCTCAAATGTTGGAATGACATTTTTTATGCTCATGTGCTATCAGTGCCCTTTCTGCAATGAGGATGACGGCACACTTTACTAGATTCAATTTGTGTTAAAAGACAATATATTTTTCTTGGTATTATCAAGTAATAATTGCTTGTTAAAAAGCAACACTGAAATACTGATGAAGAGCAAACAGATCTATTTCACAATCCATCACAGCTGGCTATTTAAGCTCTAGTCATTCAGTGAACAGTCTCCCCCAGCTTATTCACCTTGGTGTCTCTCACTGACCACTGACCCGTGCGCTACCCACTCTTCACCATCGTTGCCATGTCTGTTGGAAGGAGCCTCACTTGAGAGAACATATTTGTGATGGAATAGTACACTGCTCAGTTTTTGTTCCCTCTTTTCCTTCATCTTGTGTGAGGAGGCAGAAAGGATTGTATTTTATCCAATCAACTAGAGATCAAGATCTGTTTGTCTCACTACATAGTGATTACTTGCTCTTCAATTGTTTCTGCAAGAACTGCATTTTTAGTAATTAAATAAACATAGGAAGCCTGGGGTTCAGAGTTTGTTTTTTAGGTAACTGATAATAAGGATGAAAAACACATGTTAACTTATACTGTAAAATTTGAAAGACAAAGAATGCAGCTAGCTCGTTTTCACAGGTACTATGAATAAACACAGGACTATGCATTTCTGATGAATGTCAAGTCTGAGCTTCATCTGGGGTGCCCCACCTGGAGAGGAAAAATGCTCTTAAACAGAGTATATCCATGTCCACCTGATATTATGTAAAGGTTAGATATAGAAAAATAGAGACTTTATTCAAGAAGCCCTTCTATAAGAACATTCTGGCTTGATTATTTACAGCATAATCCTCTATACCACCTGTGACCATTTACTTACAAAATAGCTGCAGCTGTGGAAATCACAGAAGTTAATTTTCCACACATCTTTTCTTTAAAGTAAAGGAAAGCAGCGTCCTGAGGTGCTACACCGTAAGATTCCTGCCACTGTAGCTCAAATAGCATGGAGTGATTTCAATGTGCCGTTATTTCATTGTATTTACTCATATGACACTTCCATTTAATCAGTGTTTCTTTTCTTATGAACTAAATACATCGAGAGTGGCTACTACGCTGAATATACTTAAAAAAGGAAAGCACTGGACATCAATGTTATATGCCCAAAGTGATGGCATTTCTTCACATATACTGGCCTATCATTTGCCACAGAAACCAATGAAAAATTTGCAACAATACATATTCAAGGCAGGACATACCCACATGTCCATTCTTTCTTATTGGATTACCTACTTTATCTTGCTCTGGTGCAACTTTGCCATGAGTTACTCATCAAAAACTAACAAAAACATCCAAATGAGTTCTAAATAAAATCAAAGAGTGCTGGTATTAATACGCTATTTTATTCTACTCTTTGTCCCCGCAAACCAGCAAATTTAACATTTCTACGACTACTTAGAATCCTCTCACTATTTAGATGGGTGACTGTGGAGACTATTCCATGACATTATTTATGCACATATTCACAGCTTTTATCGTCTAACTACAGATCTGTTTCAATAGTTTCAGAAAGAGGTTGAAAGATACAGGAATATACTTTAATTCATAAAAAAGGCATATTTCTTACCTTTTAAAATTTGATATTTCTTTCTCTAAATGCTCTGACCTGCTCTGCCAGTTGATCATTTTTGCATGGATCCATGTGGAATGCCCTTTACTAAAATAAATATTCTCCATATTGCCTACTGCTGTCTTTCACAACATTTCTAGACTCTTAGATATTAATTTATCCTGCCTGTCCTTACAGAATTGTCCAAAAATCAATGCTATTGACATTTCATTTGTCTTTTTACCTTTGATTTTTAGAGAAAACAAAAGTTAGCAGGTTTGTTGCTTTGAAGCTGTTCTCAGCCTCCATCTGGTTGAAGTAATAAAGTGATTTAACACTTGGAAAATATATACATTTCAGTGATTTTGGGAAATGGGGCTGAAGGAGGAAGAGAGGAGAGAAGGAGAAGGTGGGCATGGTAAAGAGGCAACAAGCTGCTATTATGTTTTCCGTATGCTTTCAGGTTTATCTGTCACTAGGAACTTCCTATGCTTTTGCACACTTACTTGCACTTTCTGAGAATGATGTTTAAGGAATTTTGATGTGCCTTTATTCATGGTTATATTCCTTTTTCTGCTACATTCTCCCTCTATCCCAGGTCTGTGACATACGCTTTTCCTTGCCCTAGTATTTCACGTTACAAATAAAATGCTTTTGCCACAGTCTGAAATGAGTCACCTATTAACAGATTACAGCTATATTCATTAGCTTTGCATCTGTGGAAATCACAGGGGTCAGCACACCCGAACTGCAAGTGATGAGTTTCACCCTGGGAAAACCACCTTCCTGATAAAGGTGCCTTCCCAGGACAAGAGAGGCTTGGTTTGGGGGAGGGCAAGCGGGGTCTGAACTCACAAGCACTGGCCCACGGTGAGCCTTGGGGCTTCAGTCTCACTCCACGGGTTTAGCACCATGCTGCCCAGACCAGGCATGTCATGGCTCATACTGACCCAGACCTACTAAGCCTGGCTTGACCTAGCTGATTGTTCCAGATGTATTTTGATATGTCTGTATAGTGCTTGACTCTTATTTACCACTGTGGGACGAACGCAAATGATCCATACAAAACACAGCTCTGTCTTCCTCGTCTCTTTATCATGAGGATCAGTTTCCTCTGAGAAGTTTATAGTTGTTTCAATTAACAGCTACACGACTGACAAACACTCTTTGTCAAATCATTAGGGCTTACGCTCACAAACTCTGTAATTTCAACAGAGAGGTGTTTTTAAAACCAAAAGTCTATTAGCACTAAACTTTTATCGTTGCTTCAGAGACAGTTAGAAACCCCCAATACCTTTGGCAACAGCGAGTCTAAGAATGTAAGCATGTCAAAGTAAGGATACCAAAGTGGTATGGTTTTCATCACAATAGTAACTTAAATGTAAGTTTAACACATCAAAACAAGATTGTATGCTGCATTCCCATGTTTCATCTTAAA